ACCATAAAAATATATTATGTCTTTCATCACAGAATAACTTTGTTTTATTTTCATCTTTCGGAACATCCAACTTGGATTTTACTATTGTTGAGGCGCATCTACACAGGCGCTAAATTGTCAAATGTTTTGACATGTGTGGTCAAAGTCATAGGTCAAGGTGTTTTTGTTTTCATTGAATATGCAGCTTAAGGAAACCAAGTGTTTTTAAATATATAATCTTGTAGATAAAAGTAAAATATGTATAAATATTGTAGCATATAATAGAAGGGCATCTAGTATGATAATTTGTCATTATTCCAAGATAAATTTAGTAAAATATAAATATAAAAGGTTAAATATAGTACAAAAACAACAGGGTAAATAAAAATGGAATAAAAACGATAGTGCATCTGGTGTGGGTACTCCACATGTTTAAGGGTCGATGAGATTTAAATAAAAATCGTAGCGAGTAGCACTCATTATTGAATATATTATATTCTAATATTAATATTAGAAATGTCTAGGGTAGCCCTTATGCTATCAGGATCTATACTATTAAGGTGCTAGCTCCCTTTCACAGTGAATAATAATAATGATATGTAATATTATTATATAATATGTTATAATTTTCCAATTGTAATGTGTTTTTATAAAGTTATCAATCCTTTCCATAAAGAGAATTTTGGTTACTCTTTCTTGATTGATGTAGGGGCTTTGGCAAGAACTTAAGCTTAAATGCGGGCACGCAAGAATTTGTTCTTGAGAAATATTAATTTCACCTGCATATATAAATTCAAAGATGGCTTGTAGATAACATATGATCTATTAAAAATATTATTTGATGATTATTAAAATTATTATTATATGAAACAAACTATTAAATAATTAACAATTTACACGCTTTGCAAGTTTGTTTAGAATTAATTTGTTTTAAGAAAAATTGTTAGTCGCCCGTTATATCAGTTTGTACATACAACAAAGAATATTGCAAAGTATCCAGTTCCTCTTAATAACAAAAGATACGAGGGAATGCTGATATTGTTTGAATTTAAAATTAATTGCATAGATAAAAAAAGAGTATGAAAAATTAATTTCTCGTTAACCGTTATATTGAGCGCTGACCAATGATGAAGAAACAAAATATTTTTTTAAAACCATTAAATGTTATAAATTTGATGAAATTACAATTGAATTATATTATAATATTAATAAGTGATTAAAAATGGTCGTAACTTACTCATTTAATTTATGTAAAGATCCTAAAATAATTGTAGAATTTAATATTATTTATTGAGCTTTGATGTTAATTATATTTAATTAACTTACCGTAGGGCAAGTTATAGTAATCGCCAAAAAAATCGAAAATAAAAATTTTTATATATCTTTACGTTACAAAACTTTTTGAACATTTTGGCATACCTTAGAAAAAATGGATGTATGTGTGTGTGTATGTGTGTATGTGTGTGTGCGTGTATGTGTGTGTGCGTGTATGTGTGTGTGTGCGGATACAAATTTTCGTCGACGATTTCGTTAACACGGATGAAGCGATTTGAATAATTCAAAAAACATTCGATTTATATATAAGGAGACGTGTTGATTAGTTTTTGGCAAAGACAGGTCTAGCCTTTCCGAAAATATAGGGCAAAATTGCCAAAAACGGTAACTTAGTTTTTAAGGGAACGGAGCGTCCGATTTGAATAATTCAAAAAACATTTTATTTGTATTAACAGGATGAAGAACTGATCGAATTTTCATTTCATGAAGGCCATTTGGCGGTCAAAAATGATCATTAAACATATGCACATCAAATTATCCGATTTTTTATAGAGATTTTAACAATAATATAAATTTTGGGTTCCATACCAATGTTTATCCGTTAGACGGCGACGCCTCGCTTACGCGCTTCGATATTTTGTCTCTACGCAGTTAAGGCACGATGCCATGCGCCCCACTAGTTATTTTTTATATTAATAAGTGCTGTTTTTATTATTATATTATATTTCATTTAGTTTTGTTAACAAGAGGTTTGCTTCCTTTCATCTTCCTTTATATTTTATGATTGACTGCAGTATTTACTTGGCGCGTGTAGACGCACCCTTATTGCGTTGTTGACACAATTGACAGCGAGCGGTAATTAAACGCAACCGAACCTCAATCTGTCAACTCTTTACGCACTAAATTAAATGGTCTTTCGCTTCACCGTCTAATTAATTGTTTTTACAAAAATATTTAACTAGCAATAAAATATATTTTCCCTTAGTAATGTAGATCAGTTTGTAAAATAACATAATTAACGACAAGATTAATAATCGCTGGTGTATTCGGTTGTTGATCGATTTATTAAGAATTCTAGTCATGAATTCTGTTGAGAGGAATCAAGTTGAAATATATGACTAAAAGCTTTTATGAAGTTAGTAATTACTTATAGTATTGTATATTAGTTTATCAATTATATTAGTGTATGTATAACGTTGCGATTTCTGTATGTTTATGAACCGTGCATATATGCAGTGAAATCTGCATTACTCGGACTTCGAGACGTGATTTTTTTTATTACTTCTAGTGACAATTCAACATCTGAAAATGTGCCAGATACCAACTTTTGTTATTTTGGACAGTTTTATGAATATTTGGTTCAGTTGTACAAGCTTTAATTTCCTTAATAGAGGCAATGGATGTACAATTTTGTTTACTTGCAACAGTTCTGTTTGAATATTTAATTAATAGCAGTGAGCATAGATATCCATCTAGTGTTATTATTAATTATTATTAATTATTCTAATCATATAAGGTATTGAGGTTTTAAGTGCTAAGTAATAGACATAATCTACAAAAACCAGCTATCAAATTAGGTTCAACCGAAACCAGTTACAGAATATGAAAGTGGTATGCAAAAGTGTTGGACTTAACCAGATTTTGCTACATAAAGTTTGGTTGTAACAACTTGGAACATGCCCATTATTTTAGTTTTACTAATCGGAAGTCAATTAATCTAATATTAAACCGTACTAACCTAATATTAGGTATATTAAATCTGAGCCGAGTTTATATTATTGCCACTAGTAAAGTAGTAAAGTGCCAACTCGAAAATGTTCTAATTCGAATAAAGGAAAACATGATTTGCATGAAAAGAAAAAAGCCCTATTGATGTATTTATTTAGTAATTGTGATAAAAAGTGTGTTCAATAGACTCAACAAAGTAAAAGTTGCAAACATAAATTATTATCAAATAAAATATGTTACATTGTTTATTAAGAAGGGTTTTTTATCATAAAGATTGCAAATATTTCTTTACTAGTTTTCTCATTCACATCACTAATATCTCCTTTTATTTTTTGATATTTTATTTTAAAAATTTAAGATAATAATTATTACTTCACCAGACTAACTTTGTGATATACTGCAATGGATATATCGAGTAGCAAAAATGTAGCTGGCACAAGGCATCAACTCACTGGAGTTTTATATAAATATACTAATGTAATGAAAGGTAATAATTTATTTGAATATACACACATATATACAAACATATATATATATATATATATATATACATATATATATATATATATGTATATATATACAGTAGAATCCGCTTAGTATGACATTCAAGGGACGGCGAAAAATCGTCATACTAAGCGGTCGTCATACTAAGCGTACTGAAAAAAAAACAAAAAAAAAAACAATTTTTGGCGAATATGTTATTAATTTCAGTAATTTAATACAAAAATTAAGGTAAAAAATGACACATACTAACAAATTGACAAATTCAATTAAAAATATGACATAACAATGCATTTTTTAATGTAAGAAGTCTGTAATTTTCGCTTGAATTTCAATTGCTGGGTAAAAATAGTAAAAAATATAGAACTTTATTTATTCAGTAAATTATAGCAGATGTTATCGCTTCCAAATTTCGAACACCAAGAATGAGCATACTTATTTTTTGCACGAGGTCGTCCATGCCGGAAGTTGCCAAAGTTTCTATAGCGCGAATCTCGTGCAACATAGAGACCTGAAGGTATGTAGCGATCTGACACACAAGGGTAGTTCACAGTGGTGCCATACCATAACAATGTGCAATGAAAAACTTGAACTTTATGTTATCGGAGGTGTAAAATCATGTCGGTCATTATACTTGGACCAAATTTTTTTTCAAAAATGGGTCATTATAAGCGAAATGTCAATGTAAGCGAGGTCAACATATCCGACTAGACAGCTGTTTTTTTAAGAAATTTTATATGGAAACCAAACTGCCTTTAAAATTACGTCATAATAAGCGGTTGTCAATATATCCGGCGTCATACTAATCGGATTCTACTGTATATATATATATATATATCTGTTTTCTAACAAAAAAGCTTTTTGTTTTTTTTTTTTCATTCTAAAGATGAGATTTATATATTCTATATGTTCATACATTTGTATCATGTATATACATATGCCATATGTATTGCATAATATTAACTTTTTGAGTATCAAATGCCTCAGATATCACTTTCATATTAAATATTATTGAAACATCTGTTTTGTCATTTTAATGTAAAATAGTTATTGTGGTAGTAATTTAATATAATTGTGTTTAAAATCACTATCCCTATTATTAATGATAAAACAATATTTATTATCGAGTTTGCAGTTTTTGACAAATTGACAAATCAAATGAACAAAATTTTTGTACAGGATGGCAGCATCGATGGTTCTCAGTGGATCCACAATCGGGTACATTTAGTTATTATTTGTGTGAAGCTGGTCCTGGAGATGTTATGAGTCCGCTTGGTTCAGTGCCGAGAGCTGAGGTACGTTAATAATTATAATCGTATAAGTTTGTTCTAAAAATATCGATTGCAAAATGTATTGATTAGGTTTTAGTGAAAACTTAATTTTCGAAATAAAGAGTTATTTATGTTCTTGGTTAAGGTAACTTTTGGAGCGTATCGAGATGTTTATGTAATTTGCTTTAGGACATTCCACTTACATTTAGTTCAACTTATTGTTAGTGAAAGACACAAATCTGCTTTTTACGCACAAAATAATTCAAAAACTTTTTATTTATATACATACTTAGGGAAACCAGATATTAACTGTCTAAGATATTTGTTTTGTCTTGAGGTGACGTGTTCAATCGCTGCTTTTGAATATTTTCCAAAAAAAGTGATTTTAGTTTTTCCACCAAATCTCCGTTTTTCGCAAAACCACGATGTTTCACTTCCTTTTCGCCTGTTAATACAATATTATATTATATATGACGTGAATACAAAAAAAGTAAATTAGTTGGCACCGAAAATAGTTTTTTTATTGGCTACGACAAGCTCTACGACGCATGGGTAAAGGGAAAAAGCAGGCGCTGGAAGATGGGACCAGAAAAAAAGCTGGAAACATGGGTTCTCTCTTTATTCGGTATATTAAATGAAAAAAATTGAAGAGAGTTGGCGGTCCTCATATTATGCATACTCGATGCCCTATGGTGCCTGGACTATAAGGATTTCTTCTGAATCTGTACACACTTTCATTTTTGAAGGTTCAGTTTAATGTGTATAATCACTTCTTATTCGTCTAATGGCGCCGCCAATTAACGTCACTTTTGTCATTATTCCCATGAACAAGAGGTAAAGATGTAGTTATTGCAAAAAAACTCATCTTTACTAGAAGTATGTTACACAATTTTTATGTATTTTCATTTCCAAACATTTGCTGTATTTTTCAGGTTTCCTGTATTTTTTCATCTCGCGCAAGTCGTCAATCATTTTCGCGTAAGTCGTCACATTCTTCTTCTTCCCAATCCTTTCAGTCCTTCTACTTCCTTGCAGAACGGGTACGATCCAGTTTCCTTTTCCGGATTGTGCTCAGTAGAGCCCTTTCTTCGCCTACTCTTCTCAGAACTTTTTCATTTGTTATCTTGTCTGGTAGTTCTTGTTGGCCTTTCTTAGTCTATTTTTTGATCCGTACAGAGCTATGTTCCAGGCATAACACTTTATTAGTCTCTTTCCCAAGTCGAGACTTAGTTTTCTCGGCAGAAGCGTTCTCTTTTTCTTAAATGCCGCCTTGGCGCTTGCGATCTTTGTCCTGATCTCTCTCGTGTAGTATCATCCGTTCCTGGTCAGGAAGCTTCCCAAGTATTTGAAATGATCCATGTCTTCCAATTCTCGTTTTCCTCGCTGATATTTATTGTAACCAACTTCAAACTGCTATCATTTTGCAAACCGCTCGTTACACAGCTGACAGATTTATTCCAGTGATAGTTCATTTTGTTGTTTACAAACGTACAGAAGCATTTTGATCTATTGATTTCAGAAAAAAGTTGCTTTATATTTGGCTAGAAAACCCCAAGTGACTATCGTTATCGCCCTCCAGCATTTGAATGCGAATAAATTTTTTGTTTCTCATACCATATCTCAACCATGATACTGTTAGCGTTGCACCGCGTCCAAAAAGTGGACAAAAAAACGGTAACAACACCAGGTCTGATGTAATTTTTAGCGGAGCTCCGAATCTCGTTATCCAGTTTGAAAAGAATTCTCTTGCCACTGTAGCCGCTTCCTGATTTTCTATAGGGATTGCTTCAGGCCAACGTGTAAAACTATCTACACATGTTAGGCAATAACGAAATCCATCTGATAACGATATAATCACGATGTCGACATGTACATGCTTGAATCGCGCTCCTGGCAATGTAAATACTCCAGGACGTGTGACAATTAGTGTTAGAAGTATCGAGGCAAAAGATCGATATTGAGTACTTTGAAAAGTATCTAATCAAAATATCGATGCCAAAAAAATATCGTGGCGAAAGTATCGATAGTACTCAGTCTTGAATTTTGAGTACTTTTCATAAAAATCAAACATAAGTGCAAGAAAGATCTAAAACTCATTAAATATTATATCACAATATTAGAATGAATTCTATTGCTTGTAATCTGATGTGTTAAATCAGAATCATTTTCAATATTGTAAAATTTTAACAGTAATTTTTCAATACTAATTTCAAATTCTATAATTTTTCAAAAAAAAGACAAGTTATAATAGTTGATTATTTTTTATTAAAAAAATATAATAGTCTGATACTATATTCAAAAAGCAATACTTTTTAAGTATTTTTAAGCACAATCGTATTTTTAATATTTTTCAGTGCAAACAATTGCCACAAGAACCAAATTCATTTATTATTTTCTAAAAGTTTTTTGCCCACTATACTAAAGAAAGTATTCTTTAGTTTTGTTGTCATTCATTCAGAAAAGGTCAGTTGAAATCCGATTCCTAAAATATGTTCATAATGTGCACAAACTGAAAACGAAACATTTTAAGATTCACGTACCACAAAGAAAATATTGCTCTTCTGTTCTTTTTTAAATTGTTTATTTAATTTTTAATTTACAAGTACTTTACTTCAACTTACAATTCACATACTTTTAGAAAGAAAAATAATAACGCATTGAAATCGATGAGTATTATTATTTGAAATAATAATATTTCGATTCTTTTTTACGCAAAATACTAATCTATTGAAATTGATGAATATTATTATTTGAAATAATTATATTTCGATTCTTTTTTACGCAAAATACTATTATATTGAAATTGATGAATATTATTATTTGAAATAATTATATTTCGTTTCTTTTTTACGCAAAATACTATTATATTGAAATTGATGAATATTATTATTTGAAATAATTATATTTCGATTCTTTTTTACGCAAAATACTATTATATTGAAATTGATGAATATTGTTATTTGAAATAATTATATTTCGATTCTTTTTTACGCAAAATACTAATATATTGAAATTGATGAATATTATTATTTGAAATAATCATACTTCGATTGTTGAATATGTTTTTATAAAACATTTTGGTACTTTAAAAAGGCGTTTCATTTTACAAAAGAGTAATAAATAAACATCTTTAGTTATTAGTGTGGTCATATCCATTTTGGGTTTTTGAGCAATAAATTCTGAGACTAATGACCCTTCGGGATCATATTTTGACACTTCTCTGAACAATTATGACCACCTAGAGAGACTATTGCTTTGCATTCGGCAAAATGGTTGGTTTTCATAGTTGGTCGATAAGCGGGGTTCATAGGTTACGCTGTCGATTCTTTTTGAGTACTATCGACGTAAAAGATCGATATTGGCAAATATATCGAGCTAAAAAATCGATACCAAAAGTACTCACTATCGACCGCGAAGTATCGATATTTACTCAGTACTCGATATTTCGTTCTAACACTAGTGACAATATGTCGACTAATTTTTGAGCGCTGACAATCTAGACAGCCACTGTCGGCGTTCTCACTGTCGGCAATCTTTTTTAATGGAAGGCCATACATAATGTTGTGTTATCAATCTAATTGTAGCATTCGCTCCACAATGCGGCAAACCATGTAAGCTATTGAATATAGCACGGCAAAATTTTTTTGGTATTACCGGCCGAATAATTGATCAAGATACATCGCACAATAGCGATGTTCCCAATTCGTCTATAAATATTCTTAACTTAAGAGAATGGTCGGAATGTAATAATAGTTGTGCCACGTTATCATTATGTTGTTCACCTGCAATCGCCTTAAAATCTAGATCACATTCGTTAATTATCTCGATACGGGATAATGCATCTGCTACGACGTTATCTTGACCCGATATATGTCTGATGTCAGTCGAAAATTGATTAACAAAATCAAGGTAGCGGAACTGTCTCGGCGTACACTGGCTATCCTTTTTTTTAAACGCGTAAGTGATAGGTTTATGTCACGAATTCTCCTCCCTCTACTATGTGTCTAAAAAATTTTACTGCATTGTAAATTGCGAGTTGTTCTCTGTCGTATGTCGAATATTTTCTTTCTGTTGCATTCAATTTTCTTGAGAATAAACCTAATGGGCTAACGGTGCGTTTAAACGCGGGTGCATCAATAAAGTTGCTTCCGCAAAACTTTTTTTACACTTTTCAAACGCTTTCTCCATATTTGAGTCCCAGTTCAGTATTCTTCTTCATATTACTACGCAACTTGTTGTTTAACGGCACTTGTACTTCTGCAGCTTTCGGAATGAATCGTCGGTAAAAATTCAACATGCCTAAAAATTGGCGCAACAGTTGAACCGTCTTAGGCTTTGCATAATTTTGTATAGCCAGTATCTTGTCTGCTGGAGGTTTAGTTCTGTTGGTTGAGACTTCATATCCTAAAAACTTTACTTTTGGTTTTCCAAAGACACATTTTGATGGATTGACCACTACGCCGAATTCTTGCAGCTTCTTAAATACAATATGTAAATGTTGTATATGCTAATCGTGCGATTCCGATTCGACCAATATATATATCATCGACGTATGCATAAGAGAAGTCCAAACCTCGCAATATTTTATTCATGAACCGCTGAAAAGTTTGCGCTGCATTGCGCAAACCAAATGTCATAAACGGAAATTCGAATAGTCCGAAGGGCTAGTGATTGCAGTCTTCGCGATGTCTTCTTCAGCTACAGGGATTTGATTGTAAGCTTTCACTAAATCGATAGTAGAAAATATTATCTTACCACATAATGCTTGCACAAAATCATGGATATATATACATAAACTGGGTACCTATCTGCTTGAGTCCGTCCATTTAATTTGCGATAGTCTCCACAAGGTCGCCACCCAGAACCTTTTCGTACCTAATGTAAAGGCGATGACCAACAGCTCTTACACGGTCGTGCTGCCCCTGCTTTAATCATCGAAGTCATATTTAGCAGCTTTTAACTTATAATGTTGAGTAACAAGTTTGCAAACACCCCTAATGCTGTCTGTCGTGTTAAGTCTGGGT